TAAAGATGAAGCATAATTTAAAGTTAAGGGTAGGTGAAGAAGACCACCAACAATTCCGTCAAGGGTAAGAGACGCCAATAAAATGACAAATAAACAAATATTATTCTCGATATACATAAAGTTCATTGTATGAAAATTTTATCATTCGAATCATCAATATCATACGTCTGTTAAAAAATTCGATACAACAAATGAGGTCATGTCAAAATCAACACAAAAATTAGCCCGTCTGGTAGAGATTAAAATCAGATTTTTATTAGATTTTGATAAAAGTTGATAAAACATGTGATTGAAAAGTTGTGAGCTCCATGAAGTGTGTAATTAAAATTAATTGTTAACTTTAACTTGAGATTTTAATTTGATTTTAATCCAAACCAAACAAGTTACATTTCTTTCGAGTAACGACAATCAACAAAATGAGAATATTGATACATCAAAATGATTCCAATTCAGAAAGTATAAGCAAAAAATAAATATATAATGCAACTACAGGAAAAATGATATCATCTTTTGGAAATATTTTATTAATACTTTTCTTTTGTAAAAGTCACAAACCGACAAAAATGTCTCATTTATGAGCCAACTTTTCATGACCAATAATTGATATTGGTTCATATAATTCCATTGACTTGCATCCCCACAAAAGACTTCGCAGTCTTCCCCTACTTTTTGAGTTTTTAATTATAAGTTACGTATTTTATTTTAATTTGTTTTTTTAACAAAAAATATATTTTCTCTTTATATATCTCAATTGTCCAGTGATGGAATTGAACCCTCCTCACATATGCCGACAGCCATCAGCCTTGATGAAAGAAGTAACACAACAGCAATTAGTACCCACAAAAATCATGTCCTCCTTTGTTCTCCTCATCTGCTTCTTCCTCCGCTTCCTACCCACAGCCATCTCTCCCGCTCCTCCTTACCAGCCCATAGACCAAATCCTCATCTGCTGTGGCTCAGAGTCAAGTAGTACTGACGACAACGAACGTAACTGGGACGGTGATGCTCGTTCCAAATATGCACCACTAAACATCGCCACCACGTCTATAGCCTCCGAAACAACAGAACAAGGCCCTTTTGTCCCGAATCGAGCCCCTTACACCACAGCTCGTATTTTCCAATCCCAGTTCACCTACACTTTTCCAGTCCTGGCCGGACCCAAATTTCTCCGCCTCTACTTTTACTCCGCCACCTACTCCGGCCTTGATAAAAACGTATCCTTCAACAAAAATGAATCTTTCTTTACAGTCACTGCCAATGAATTCACACTTTTGAGCAATTTCAGTGCGTATCTCACATCCACATCCTCCTTTAAGAAAGAATTCATCATTAATGTCGAGGATAATCAGAGCCTTAACGTTACCTTTTCACCTTCTCCAAAATCTTACGCGTTTATCAATGGGATTGAGATAGTTTCAATGCCAGACATCCTTTACTTCCGTGGCAACCACATCAAATTCGTGAAACAAACGTATGAGCTGAAAAATACAACGGCGTTGGAGAATCTTTACAGGTTCAATGTAGGAGGAGCTTATGTCGGAATAAAAAACGACTCGGGGATGTTTCGTGAGTGGAAAAAGGATGATCCCTATATTTTTGGTGGAAATTTTGGTTACACACCTCATAGAGAATATCTTCCAATCAATTACACTAAACACACCCTAAATTATACTGCGCCGAAAATAGTTTACACTACCTCAAGAGTAATAGGCAACGGTAGCAAAATTTTGGAATGGAGTTTTCCTATTTATTCCGGGTTTTACTATCTCCTCAGACTCCATTTCTGTGAGTTTCAACAGGAAGTTACCCATCAAAACGAAAGGGTTTTCACTATTTCAATCAACGATCAGATAGCAGACAGTGAAGTTGATGTTATTTTTTTGACTGGTGGCACTCAAATTCCTTATTTCGAAGACTATGTCACGTGGGTTAGTGATGATGGCCGCCATGGACCGAGAAACATGAACCTTTCTTTGTCCCCAAACACTATGCACCGTCCTTTGTACAACCATGCGCTCTTAAATGGCTTAGAAATCTTCAAACTCAGCGATTCTAATCGTAGTCTTGCGGCAGCAAACCCTGAACCTATTCCGAATTCTTTGCCGCCAGGACCAGATATTAGTTCAGAGAAAAAGAGAAGTAAAGATATGTCTCATGTACTTTATCCTGTTTTTGGGAGCGTGACTGGCTTTGTTCTTGTGCTATTATTAGTCAGCTTTTTTATTTTTTATCGCCGACGGAGAGTGAAAGACTCTGGCCTATGTGCGAGGAAGTCAAAGTCTACCACGAAGACCAGTGGTTCGGGTTCATCGCTACCATCTGATCTGTGCCGGCACTTTTTGTTGGAGGAGATTAAACTGGCAACGGGTAACTTTAACGACAGTTTTGTGATTGGCATGGGTGGATTTGGTAAGGTGTATAAAGGGTACATTGAGAACGGTGCAACTGCAGTTGCCATCAAGCGACTGGATCCATCATCGAATCAAGGGGTCCGTGAATTCGAAACAGAAATCCAAATGTTATCAACATTGAGACACCTTCACTTGGTGTCCTTGATTGGATATTGTGACGAAAATGGTGAGATGATCTTGGTGTACGATTACATGGTACATGGCACACTACGCGATCATCTCTACAATTCAGAGAATTCTCCATTACAGTGGAAAAATCGTCTCCAAATTCTCATTGGGGCTGCGAAAGGATTGCATTATCTTCACACGGGCGCAAATAACATGATCATTCACAGAGACGTTAAGACTACCAATATCTTGTTGGATGAGAAATGGGTGGCTAAGGTGTCTGATTTTGGCTTGTCCAAAATCGGCCCCACAGTTGGGACCAACACCCATGTCAGTACAATGGTCAAGGGCAGTTTAGGATATCTCGATCCAGAGTATTACAGGAGACGACAACTGACAGAGAAATCAGATGTTTACTCATTTGGTGTCGTATTGTTTGAGGTTCTATGTGCTAGACCTCCAATTATACAAAACATACATAAAATGCAAGTGAATTTGGCTGAGTGGGCTAAACTCTGTTACAAGAAGGGGACTCTTGAACAAATTGTTGATCCCAATCTTGTGGGAAAAATCGCACCTGAATGTTTGAGTAAATATGCTGAAATTGCTACTAGATGCTTGAGGGACAACGGGATCGAAAGACCAAATATGAGTGATGTGGTTTGGACCCTAGAGTTTGCCATGCAGCTGCAGGAGGTGGCAAAGAATAGAGGCTGCGACGGGGCAGTGGTGGACGGTGGAGACTCCCCAATGTTCCCGTCATATCCAATACTTCAGCAAGAGGAGCCAACCAGCACAGACAACGACGAATTATTTTCCGGTTCGGGCGAAGTTGAGGTCAAATTAAAGAGAGCTAATACATCATCTGCTAGCAACGACCTATCTAAGAGCAGTAGCACATCTACTGATATCGGTGACAGATTAAAGACTGGGACTATTTTCTCTGAAATTAATAATTCAGTAGGGCGTTAGGTTTCCTTTCCTTTTTTTTTTTTATAATTTTTTTTTGTCTAATTCTGTTATTTTGTCAATGGATTAATGGTCTTAGCAATGGGATTCCATCCACAGTTGATATTGTCAAGTTTCAATATTGAAGTGAGAGCCAAATACTATGAAGTTATCACCAGTGGTTAGTTGTGGAATTTAATACTCCATAGATGAATATTACTGGAGATAAACTGTTTCATGTAGAAAATGAAAAAGTGAAATTGTGCAGTGGGGCTGTGAAAAGGGGAAGAAGAGAGAAAGAAGAGATGAAAATTATACCAACTGAG